GTGCCTTGAATAATATCGGCTTCTTTCATTCATGTTATGGGTATTTTTATACAAAGGAAATTTTTTTGTGCCTGTTGAAAATTTAAGTTTACTGACATAGCCATAAAAAATGTTGCTTTATTTATCTGACCATATTGGAATGTATTTGTTAGGTTTTCAGTCAATTAAATTTGGTTCAATAAACAATATGTGGTCATTTTTAAAATTTTCAATGAACATTCGATCAGTCCGGCCCTCGGCTTGCAGCAAAATTTTTTATCTGGCCCTCCGTCCATTTGACTTTGACACCCCTGGTCTATATGAATAACGAAATAAATAAATGTACACACCTAAAATATATTAACAAATTCTAGCCTTTGTAATTTGAAAATTACCTTCAACTACCATACGGATGTCAAATTTGAATTTGATTAATTATTTAGCCCAAGTCTTTCGTGGACTACCTCCTCTCTGTTCGTTGCTGTCTTCAGTGTAAACAGTTCATATAAGCAGGCTAAGAGCCGGGAACAAGAGAAATCTTTAAAAAAAAAAAAATTAAAAATCACACACATTTATGTGGGGGACAAAAAAAAATTACCCTGGCCTAATATGAATGAGTGATTGGTAACAACATGGCTGTCTTTTCGTGCTAGTATCAGAGACACACTTTTAAAAGGTTTGGTTGGACAGAGAAGCCATCTCGCCCGGATTGAGGAAACCTTCAAACTTACCTTGCAAGTGCCATGGTGATGAATCACAATTCCATGTTGCCGCATTTCTATTTATCTTGTCCACTTTTTGGGGTTTTGAATCGTTGCTTGAGATTGTATGTATCGTTTCCTTTTTCATTCCTTGTCAACCTTGCCGTGTATCCTCAGAACACGCCTGGCTTCATGTTCAAGAACTTGCAGTGTTTGATTATTGATGAAGCTGATCGCATCTTGGAGGTGGGCTTCGAGGAGGAATTGAAGCAGATCATAAAGCTTCTGCCCAGTAAGCTTTTTTTTTGGTGTGTTTTTCGGAAAACGTGGTGACTTCTGTCTATGGTATTGTATTTCATTCGGCTTGTCAATTTTTCTAACATTGTATAGCAATGTAAAATGTGTATTTATCAATGGTACTTTCAAATTGAAATTCAAGTAAATAAGTGTCGGTGCGTCTTTTCTTCAGAGAAAAGACAGACCATGCTGTTTTCGGCAACCCAGACTCGGAAGGTGGAGGACTTGGCTCGTATTTCTCTGAAGAAAGAGCCTCTCTATGTTGGAGTGGATGACAACAAGGACACGGCCACCGTCGATGGTTTGGAGCAGGTATGTCGGTGGTGCGACAGATTCACTGACGTGGCTGGGCTCCTTCTTCATGAGTGTCACCTCAACCGCAGGGCTATGTAGTGTGTCCGTCGGAGAAGCGCTTCTTGTTGCTCTTCACCTTCCTGAAGAAGAACCGCAAGAAGAAGCTCATGGTCTTCTTCTCCTCCTGCATGTCGGTGAAATTCCACTACGAGCTCCTCAATTACATTGACCTCCCTGTAATGGCCATCCATGTAAGCCGTGACCTACTGCACATGACCTTGCACTCCCACTTGGCGTCATCTGCCGTAGCCAATCTGTCAATGTCACTTTCTCCACTGCTCAGGGCAAGCAGAAGCAGACCAAACGCACCACCACCTTCTTCCAGTTCTGCAACGCAGATTCGGGCATTTTGCTCTGTACCGATGTAGCAGCTCGAGGGCTGGACATCCCAGAGGTGGACTGGATCGTCCAATACGACCCCCCAGATGACCCCAAGGTCTCATGATGACTATGACACGATACTTAGGTTTCTTCTGCAATCTCACCCCAGTGTAGTATGCCTAATAATGTGCAGTTTTCTGTGTGTAGTTTAGTGTATTATTATATGTATCTATCTCTCTATAATAGCTATTATGTTAAAATTATCCCACGTTTAACACAGCACTGATCTAATATACATTTCAGGGTTACAAAATGGCACAGGGTGAGCATGTTTGCATCGCGTCATAAGAATGTCGTGCTGCAAGTTATTTTTCATACCACAAGTATTTTTCATACCACTGTTCGATGCCATTATGACTTACTACTGCATGATCGTAGGGTTAATGATGGATTCGCCATCTGCCAGCTTTTACCTACAAGTTTGGCTTTTGTCATCGCATTAAGAACGGAATGCTGGCCCTCCTTGATAGTTGAATGAAATTGTTCGAAATGACAACAAAAATAGATAAAAAAAAGCCCCCCCACACACACACACACACACACAAAAAAACCCAATATCTTACCTAATGGATTTGTCTTTCCTAAGAGTTCAGTGCAAATGAGGGTATGCAGCAGCGTGTTTCATGAAAAATAAAACACCCTTATTGAATGCAGTACACACAGCTGAAGTAAGCCTTTGGAGGGTGGGAGGGTTCCACGTACATGAAATTAGATTTTTGCATATTAGCCATCTCAACTCAACAAACACGCGTCATTGGTGGAGGAGGGGGCAGCTTCAAAATTCTCCTTTCAAACCTCCCCAAGCTTCTACAAACTTAGAGTAACGTTGCACCCACAGGAATACATCCACAGAGTGGGCAGAACAGCTCGAGGCATCAATGGCAGAGGGCACGCACTTCTGATCCTGAGACCAGAGGAGCTTGGATTCCTGCGCTTCCTCAAGCAAGCCAAGGTACATGTTCCCAGCTTGCCTGATGGCCTCCATGCTTGTGACACTTCATGACAGTCGGCTAAAAACAAGCGTGCTGTGTTCTCCAGGTCCCCCTGAGTGAGTTTGAGTTTTCCTGGAGTAAAATCTCAGATATCCAGTCCCAGGTAAGAAATCTAGTGCTTTGGGTACATGAGGTGTCATGTTCTGACGTCATTTGAAATGGTCTTTCTTAGTTGGAGAAACTGATTGAGAAGAACTACTATCTTCACAAGTCAGCCCAAGAGGCCTACAAGTCTTATGTGCGAGCTTACGACTCTCACTCGCTCAAGCAGATCTACAGCGTCAACACGCTGAACCTCCTTATGGTGGCGTTGTCGTTTGGATTCAAAGTCCCACCTTACGTCGATCTCAGTATCCTTTTTGCGTCATATTTCATGTGGGTCAAATGTATCACGAATTGAGAATTCTGTCCTAATCTTGAACCGTTTCTACATTTGCAGGCCTACTTTTATGACACTTTGATTGTCTTGAGCAAAAAAGCAGAGCAATGTGAAATAGTTCAACCACCTTTTTTCCTTAACCCAGCTCTTTTCCTCAGACGTCCACGGCAGTAAAGGCGCAAAGCTGCAAAAGCGAGGCGGCGGTGGTGGTTTTGGGTACCAGAAATCCAAGAATGTGCACAAGGCCAAAATCTTTAAGCACGTCAACAAAGGATTTAATGACAAAAGGCAGTTCTCTCGTTAATCAGATGATTGGAATCTCTGAACTGGTTCCTTGTCGGAGCGTCATGAAAAACGGCGCTCTTGTCATCATGGGGAAAGTCCTGTTTTCACCATAATTTGTAGGAATTGTATTTTGTTGCAATATTTTATATGTAGCTCTGCAGAATTCCATGCTTGTGTGATGACATAAATTTGTTCACAAAACGTAAGAACGTGCATTTGATTGAAATATTAAATTTCAAGTAACATTGCATTTTGAAAATGAATTTATTCATTGTGCTTTTTTGATTATGAGATCATTACATCCATAAGACGCAGTTGGTGACAAAAGTCTTCATGACAGGAATCTGTAAATTCCATCAGAGGATTAATAGCTATACTTGTCAATCTAATTGCACAGGGAAACTGAAAGTTATATATAGTACTCAATGAACTGTAGTGTTTCATATGCATCAGTCATCGCTATCTTTTTTTAAATAACACTTATCAACATGATTGAGTTCATAAATTGTGACATCTGAGTCTTCGTGTGTCGTAAAGACTTGAGATAAATCTCACAATACATTTTAACACCGGATAGAAATGGCATTGTATTCATTTTCCATTCCTTCTACTCAACAATCATTCCTGATTAAAGTATAGATGAATACAGGTTCGCCTCAACTGCTCAGTTGCTACCCCAGCCCCTTGCAATTCATAAACTCATGACAACAAATGCCCCAAAAGTGACTCCCACAAGCCAAACCCATTCTCACCCCCACCCCCAAAACCATGCCTAGAAAATTCATGTATTGGTTGAAGTGTTCCTTTTTTCCAAATAAAAGAGAAACATGTTCTCATTGCTTCACAGCTTCCACTCTTCATTCCAACTTGGATCTGTGCGATAAGAGTAATGTGGCAGCTCCGAGGTGGCCGCATCCATGTAGAATTTGTGCCACATTTCGGTTACTGTTGGCTCCCTGGGGGTTAAAGCAAAAGGAAAAAGAATAAGAGAAGATAAAGGAAAGCAACAATGATGAACAATGCAAGTACAAAACATTTTGATATAGCACTTTCACAACAGCTGCAGCTATAACAAAGCGCCTTACAGAACAGTTAACATAAAATAACAAAATATAACAACACAGAAGACACGTACAGTCAGTCATGCATTCTTAACCACTTTTCTGCATACACTTTGTTGTTTGAAGCAGTTATAGATGAAAGAGGAGAGATTCAGGGTGTCCTTTCGCCAGTGGATCAAACATGTCATGCTCAAAATGCGCACACGTCTGCTAAAAGCTTAAGTTTGAAAGTACACTAGAAGCAGTAGCGTCCATTGATGAAAAAAAAAAAAGATTGGAAATGACTTGGAATCTCGCATGAGAAAAGACGACACACAGCTATGCAGCAGTATTCTTTCATCCCGCAACACACATCACTCAGGATCTCTGCAGGTTTGTGACATGTTCTTTCGAATAACTTTCACAATTGGTGCCGTGGTCGGGAGCATCACATTCATCTTAGGTGTTGCGCTGAGGTGTGAGAAGACTTAAGGTCCTGCTAACACCCAAACCAAGTAGCCCGAAGAATAACAAGCAAATGCCAGACCTTAGGGGTCCAGTCTGGTTGGGGGCAGTGGAGGAGAGAGCCCTCAGGGGATGCTGTTCACCTTCACCAAGCCTGGCAGGAAGAATGCGCATTCAAGATGAAGTGTCAAGAATCATAAAGAGTCACTGTTCTGGTCGTCATCCAGGACAAAAGATATCATACCATTGTCACCGCAGCCTGACTCTGTAGTCTCCCAATTCATGGATCGTTGCACAGCCTTCTTCCAGCGAGCGAAGCGGAACTCACTCTCTTTGAGAGGAGTACACATGTGGGGTGAGCTACTTGTTGTAAAATGGTTGACAGGTTTTTATTCAGGGTTTTTCTTTCTTACCATCGGAGTTGATCTGAGGCTCGTATTTTTCAGAAGTGATACGAGGAAGGTCACTGGGGCTCAGGCTCCACACCTTCACCCCTTCTGCGGCCCCTGCTGCCATGGCAGCGCCGAGAGCTGTCGTCTCTGACATGGAGGGTTTCACTGGAACATCAAGGGAACAAGCACACACAAAAAGCTGTTACGCAGCAACCGGACTTTTGTTTAATTCACTCATGTTATGTATCTCAATGATCCTGTTTAGTAAAGCAGTGAGCTGGCATTTATAAAAGACAAAGGGGAGTGGCGGCGAACACAGTTTCTGGCAATTGTGAGTGTCCAGGTGTCCTACTTTTGTGTTGGGACTGTGGGAAACTGCTGGAGTATAAAGCTGTTCTCTTGCCTGAGATTTCTGTGTCATGATATTTATAGGATCCTCCACTATTTTGTGTTAATATTTATTTTTTAAACAAATGTTGCTTAAAAAGTAGAAAAAGCACTGAGATGGAAAACGATCCTGTGATGAATTTATTGCTGCAGGAGGACGACAAGCTGCGTTCTTGTCTGCACACTTTCAAGGGTCCGTTGCTTTGTTAATTTACTTAGAAAGTGTTATGCAGAACAAATCAGGTGAAACTGAAGAGGTGCAAGTGTCAATCTGAAGTGGTCACCGACTGTTCTTTAATTGGGCATTTGCCAGCGAAGCAGTGCGCATATAGCCATTTTATGTCTATATATAGCTATATACTGTATATATTTATATATATATACACACACACACACACACACACACCCTTGCGGTCGACTTGGGACCAGTCCGCTGGCTCCCGGTCGATTGCGGTCAACGTATTGGGCACCCCTGCCTTAAAATCAGAGGTAATTCGCTGACAAGCTTAGCACCGTTGTTTGTGCATGATTCAGTTATCTGATTGGTTGCCCTCTATGTCAATCAAGTAACGGGACTGATGATCGGCTGACGTCGTACGTTTTGCGTATTTAGCGCCTTTGTTTGAATGGCAGCGCCGCTGCCAAGGTGTTTTCGACGCTGTGAAAGCCCGGGAGCCGCATTGAACCAGCCAAAGAGCCACATGCGGCTGGCGAGCCGCGGGTTGGCCACCCCTGCTCTAAACCTATAATCATAAATATCCATCTATCCATCCATTTTTTTTTTTTTTTTTTTTTTATCCTCATGCTCGCGGGGGTGCTGGAGCCTACCCCAGGAGTGGGGGACACCCTGAACTGGTTGACAGCCTATCGCAGGCCACACAAAGACGAACAACCATCCGCGCTCACACTCACACCTAGGGACAATTTAGAGTATTCCATTAACCTGCCATGTTTTTGGCATGTGGGAGAAAACCGTAGTACCCGGAGAAAACCCACGCAGGCCTGTGGAGAACATTCAAACTCCACACAGGAAGGCCGGAGCCAGGATCGAACCCATGGCGTCTGCACCATGAGGCACACGTGCTCATCATAAATATTTGTTTTTAAAAACGTTTCATTTTCTTCAATTGGAATATTTCAAGTTAATTTTGTTCACAAGATTTTTGTAAAAACGGTGGAGGATCTTTTTAAATTTCAGGGAAGACGTACCGACAGACACGCCAAGGATGTCAGCTTGCAGCTGCATCAGCAACCTGTTAGCCGTCATGCCTCCGTCCACCTGCAGCTGCACCAGAGGGACGCCACTGTCCTTGTTCATTGCATCCACAATCTGATACACAAGAATGTCATACAATTAGTCCAGGCCTCTTAAGAACTTTCAGAAATCACTGAAATCTTGTTAATGGGTACATAACATTGATAAAATGGCCTGTTTTTGTTAACATTTAAGGGGAAGTTTGGAGTTTGAAAGACAAATAACCAACCCCAACCGCCCTAAAAAAAACAGCAAAAAAAAAAAACAACATTTTTTTGTAATACATGCTAAAACTATCTGCATGATATTATGACCATGACCTTTGGAAAAAAATCATCCCTCTCTGGCCTCACCTTCTGCTTCTAATTTTATTTGTAATTCTTATTTTGAAACGTGTCATTCTGCGTCATGGATAGCCTATCCGCTGTAGTGACAGAAGGCCATGGGGTGTTGCCAAGGTGGGCACGTGCAGCCTAATAAAACTTTAGATAAGGATATTATTATATTGTCTACTTCCTCAGACCACACGACTTATCGGTAGCTTTGGAATGTTCATGCTGTCACTGAGAACTCGCAGCCTTTTGTTCCTTAAAGGCTATGCAACAACAGGTCATATGTTGCAGTGTGGATTGAAATTAGGCCAAATAAAAGCATACTACACTTTGTTTGCTTTTAAGACATTTTTGAAAAGAATAAAGACAATATTATAATTATCACACCACCAATGGAATGGTTTGGGCTGCTGAGAGGCGTTGCAGTCTGGTTGTTTCGGTCATGTACTTTTTTTTGGTTTTGTATCACTTTCTATTAGGATACAACTTGCTTTTTTAATATATCATACAATCTAGCATAGTATGAAAAGAATAATATAGAGGCTAAAGGTTCTGTTGTGGGTCTGGCTAATCAGTCATACAAAACAATACAATACACCTTGATAAAGCACTTTTACAACAGCTGCAGCTGTGGGTGAGAAAGTCCAACAAGAGCTTATTACTACCTCTCTGGTTTGGAAGCAAACGGCCTCGAGCGCAGCAAAAGCCAAATGGCTCTTGTTGGTGAACTGTGTGAGGCCACAGATGATGCTGCAAAAGACAAAGAAAAGGGGATCAACCCAATTACAGTGACGCTGCCCCCAAACCGATTTGTATGTTTGAAAAAGAAGGCCGAACAAAAACAATGAAGCTTTCTTTTCCTTAGAACTCAGGGTCACATCACAGTCAGCAGCGCATATCTCACCCTCGTGCACTGGGCTCCCAGTAAGGGGCATAGAGCCCAGAGAAAGCAGGTACAAAATAACAGCCATAAGATGTCCCTGCTGAGGCCGCTAACTTCTCTGAAATGAGGGTGAGAGAAAATGCTCGACTGGAACGGGATGTTGTTGTTACGTACAAGAAAAAAAAAATCGCTGGCAAATGAGGAGGTCCAACAAAGAACATTTATTGCGCTTAGTTGATTTTCAAGCAACGTACCGATCTCCGCGGAGGACTGCACTATGCCCATATTGTCCTTGAGCCATCGAACTACTGCCCCAGCAATGGCCACTGAGCCCTGTCAGAAAGACTGAAACCAGTCAAACGAGTTTGAACTATATGGAATACATGAGCATCGGCATTCAAAGCACTCACAAACCTCTAGTGCATAGCAAGGAGGCTGATCTGGTCCCATTTTGTAGGCAACTGTGGTCAGCAGGCCATGCTCAGACATCACAGGCTGGCGAAATTAAAAAAAAAAACGTTAACTACACAAACACAGAATAGGAATGACGACCGTATCATTAAGTTGTGTTCTGTTCATCACATACCTTGTTCCCTGTATTTCTGAGCATGAAGCAACCCGTCCCATACCTTTACATGACAATAAAAAAAAAGATCCAATAAAACAGCAACAATTGCAATAAGCAGTCAAAGATCAAGACAATTTGGGCGTGATGTACTGCACGTGTTTTTGGTCTGGCCGTCCTTGAAGCACATCTGACCAACCAGGGCTGCTGACTGGTCACCAAGACACTGATAAAAAAGCATTGTCAACATTAGCATCGTCTGGTCAACATTTTGCGGCATGTACAGCATAAAATAGGACAATCGTTCACATTCACACCGTCAGTGATTCAGCAATGAATCCCTTAATCATATAGTTACAGAGGTGGGTAGAGTAGCCAAAATGTTGTTGCTTAACAATAAGATGACTCAAGTAAAAGTAAAGGGTAGTCTTAAAAGTCTTGACTTGGGTATGTACTCAGTACAACAACAAAAGAATCTTCAAGTACCTAGAATCCAGTGGCGGACCCTCAGGGCCAGCAAGGCCTTCTCTGCTGGCCTGAACATTCTCAGAAAAGTAAATTTACTTTTCTGAAAATAACATTAATTTGTTATTTTATTTTCATAAATATGTAAACAAAATTATTCTCTGTATTCTTTACGTCATATTATTTCCACTTAGTCGAGTGGCTTTCAATGTTGTTTTAAATAACATTGAAAGCCACTCGATAAATAACTTATTTATTATGGTAGAGTTTTTAACCAATCATATTTCAGCTAGCTGTATTGCCAGGTAAATTACATTTGCTCGGGGCCTTCAGATTAAACAGAGCAGGCCCCTGTGCGC